CCCCTGCTCTTTGTACATCCTGGCTTGGCCCGGCACTGCCTCAGCCTTACTTTATGTGCATGGTTGCCTCCCCAGCTTAAGCTGGAAGCTTAATCAGTGATGCCCTGTGTGATTGGCCTGATCCCCCGCACCCCTCAGCTAGTGACTGTCCTAGCCCTGAGTCTAGATGGGCTCCAATGTGCACAGTCATCAATAGGAAACAGTGGTCCTCACTGTGACTTCCAGCCCAGAGAGCTGCAGGGCATGCATTCTAGCTGCTCCCCTGGCACCTGGGGAGCCCTTCTGACATCAGGCCCCCCCATCACTAATAGCCATCCCTCCCCCTTATAGTGAAGATTTCGGTCGTGTCCTGCCTCCCGTCAGCTGTACGTGGTGGGATGTCACTCCACGACCTTGGCCTCTGACTTGTGAGAGACCCCATCCAGTACATCGTTGATTTTCTCTGTCGCTGACTCCTGGTTCTTTCTTTGGCCTCGTGGCTGGGCAGTTGCAAGAACCGCAGGACTGTGGGGTGCAGTCCGACACTCTCGAGTCACGTCACCAGGAGACACAGTGAGCTTAGGTGTGTCGAGGTGGCTTTAAAGCCAAGGTCGTGAGCCAGCTCTGCGCTAAGCCCCTTTCTTCTGAATCAGGACTCTGGCTGTCTGGTAATTAACTTAATCTCGTTTTGCTGTTCAGTTCAGTGCAGTCGCTCAGTCATGTCCGACTCTTTGCGATCCCATGGACTGCAGCACGCCAGCCTTCCCTGTCCNAAAGAGTCGGACATGACTGAGCAACTAAGCACACAGGAATTGTGTGACTCTTGTCTTCATCCATCTTAACTGCTTGAGCTTGCTCTTTGAAACTCAGAGAAGGCTAAGGAGACCAAAGGCTCTCCCCCCCCCCCCCCCAAAAAAAAAAAAACACATGTGACCAGCTGGAAAAGCTTAGTGGAGCTGAAGAACAGTGAACAGCTGTAACCAGTGAATCATCAGTTTAAAGAGGAGTGGAAAATAGGCAATTGTGCTCTTAACCCACAGCTTGGTAGATACTAGCCCCGTCGCGTCTCCCAAGCCCCTCTGTCATTTCTGTGTGTCTTCTGTTGCTGTCTTTATCTTGCCCTTATGTTTCCTCCATCTCTGTGTCTTCTACTTTCACCACCCCGAGATGGCTGTCACCTGTGTCTCTTCCTCTCCCCCATCTCCGTCTTGGCCCTTTTCCTGTCTTTCTTCACCAGTCTCCACTCTCAGCCTTTATCCTCTGATGGTTTCTTTCTTCCTTCCTCCTCAAAGCCACGTATGGGAGGCAGGCACTGTGCCAGCTATCTGTGTTTGAAGCGAGAGCTTTCTGCCTTGTTCTTAACTTAGGTGGCAGGTGAGTGGCCCTCCTCTGGCCCCTTTCCCTTGGAGTCAGTGGCTCTGTCGGGGATGGTGCCCTGTGCAGTTGTTGAAAACCTCCGCCCAGTCAGGTCTCCAGGAGTCATTTCATTGAGCAACTTAAGGGTGTGTACACGTGTCAACTCTTCCCAGTCCTGGAGACCACAGAAGATTTGTTATTCTTCCCTGAGATTTCCTTTATTTCTAATTCTTCCCTGAGAGGTAGGCATTGAAACTTTGCCATTCTCCTATGAACTTTCCTGATTCACACACACCATCCGTCTTTTAACAGAAAGGTTGGCTTATAAACACACTGTACCGCGGTCGAGCTTTGGTGAACACTGACCCTTCACAAGGCAGCCTGGGGAAGGAAGAGTTCTGACCGATGGGAAACTGTGTTCTTATCCCGTCTGCTGGCTACTGGGTGGTGGTCAGCGTCAGGCCGTGAGCTCAACTCATGATCCTCGGTTCCAGGGCTCAGTCGAATGGAGTGATGTTTCCACGCCTACCTCTTCGTGGTGTTAAAGGATAGCCTGAGGCATATTAAACATTTCAAGAGTAGGTTTGAGCAAAAATAAATTCGAATTGAGCAATACCCAATTCCCAGAGGTTGGGAGTGCTCTGATAGTAGGAGCTGGGGAGAGACTTCTCCTGTAAAAATAAGCTCAAAAGCAAAGAAAAGAACTATCGACTGGCTCCAGCACAGAGCCTAGTTGGCTGTTTGTGCTGGGTTGTCCTTAGTGTTTTGATTTCATAACCTTGAGGCATTTACAGGCTTACATTTCCGTTTGCTTACATAGGCAGCCGCCTATGACATTAGAAGCTCCTGATGGCCTCTGTTTAATTAATTTAACAGTGGATTAAGTGTGATCATCTGTGTGAAAACACCTTGAAAGTTAACAGCAGCCCACAAAAGCAAGGTAGTCCTAATACCTACAACGTTACATTAAATACTGCCAAGATACCTTCAGGGGAAAACAATAACTAACCTCATTAACAAAAGCATTAGTTGGTGTGCTAAATAGCAAAAGTGATTTATGACTATGTTGATAGTTTTCACTTATGAAAGATTTAAGAAGTCCAAGCTTAGTCATTAAATGCACTTGAAATGTAAACATATTGTCTGTATTGGTCCATGGACAGGAAACACATCACTTATTTGAATGTGGACAATTAACATCCATTTTGCCAACAAGCACCTGTATAGTGATTACTATATACAGCATAACAAACTGAAATAAAGGAGGAAATGATTTAAGTTGAATTAACATAGTTTCATTTTCTGTGGCAATTTTTATGTGAAAATAATTACCCACTCTAGTATTCTGGCCTGAAGAATTCCATGGACTGTATAGTCCATGGGGTTGCAAAGAGTCAGACACAACTGAGTGACTTTCACTTTCAAATCTTTTTTGGGCCTCTTTTAAATGTAAAAGCAGTTTAAAATTACAAATATTTTGAAAGAAGAAATTACCTACACTTTTCACAAGATAGCTTTACTTTTTTGGATTGTATATATTTTTAATCTCCATCCATAAACATGTACTTTTATAATAATTATGCACTTATTTGGGCACTTTTTTTTCCCCAGCATATTTTGTAGAGTCTACTTAAATCAAGTAATTGACATTAAAGATGATCATTTTATACTTCTATTAGAGCAAGATGACTGCTTCATTAAGAAAATTGAGAACTTCCATGGCATAACACAGTAGATGCTTTAGTTCTTCACAGGCTGTTTTAGTGCCTGTTGTAAGCAGGCAGCCTTATGCTGGGTGATTCAGGATCCAGACTCCTTCCATCTTGGGGTTGCACCCTCCCCTCAGCTTCCTGAGTCCACTGCTGGGTCCACTGTGTGCTGCTGGCAAAGGGGCGTAGGGAAGGAGCAGGGAAGAGAGGCTGTCTCTCGGATCTGCAGGCTGGGAAGTCTAAGATCAAGGCATGGGCAGATTTAGTGTTTGCCTAGGGTCTACTTTGCTTCATGGATGCTCTCTTCTTGCTGTGTCCTCACATGGTGGAATGGATAGGAGAGCTTTTGCAGGTCTCTCTTATAAGGACACTAATCCTGTTCATGAGGATTCCACCCTCACTACCTAATCACCTCCCCAAAGCCCAATTTTGAAATCCCATTGTTTTTCAGGATTAGGTTACAACACATGGGTTTTCAGGACACAGTCAGGCAGTCTATAGCAGAGGCTTTTTATGAGCCAAGCTTGGCAGTGGCCACATCCCTTCCACTCACGTGCCATTGGTCAGAAGACAGTCATGTGACCACACCCAACCATGGGGAGGCTGGGAAATGTAGTCCAGCTCTATTTGGATGGAAAGGATACAGATTTGAGGAACACATGGCAGTCTCAGTCACAATTTCTAATCTAGTTGCCATATACTGGATATCTTTAGTATTTTTCCTATATACGAATTGACATTTTATTATATAGAGCATTTGTTGAAATTATATATATCAGATGTTTTTATAAATAGTTTCAGAAATATTGCAGTAAAGGATTTATTGATATAATAAATTTATTTCTGATAACTGTGTGTGCATGCATGCTCATGCATTTCTTTAGCACTTGGCATACTGTGCTATAATTAGTTGAATATGTATCATTACCTTTGAGTTAGCCCAGTTAGTGCCTTGCATGTGGGAAGTGATCTCTAAACACTGTCGCAATGACTGGAACTAGATGAGATTTTTTTACTAACTTTGGAAATGGCTAGAAAAGGCAAATTCTCTCCAGCTCACTGCCTCATTCTTCTGATAAGTGCATGCTAGGGATGGCCACCCCTACCCCCTGGGGCTCACCTACAAGGCCTGGTTTAAGTACTTCCCCACACTTACTGGCCTGGTTTTAGTCCCACTCATATTTCTCTATATTTTGGTGTTGCATATGTAAGTAGGTAGATAGATCAGATTAGACAGGGCTATTTTGAGACTCAGAGAAGATTTTCACAAAGTTTTATATAAAATATTGAGCTCTGTGGATGTTTTAAGCCCAGGGCCAAGAAGAGATGGTCATGGCTGGAGCCACTGGCCGTCGTTGCCAGATCATGGTTAGACCCCCAAGCAGGGTGGCTCTGGCAAAGCTTAAGGCTTAGAAGGAGACCGACCTAGCCAAGGGTGACCCAAGACGTGACTGGAAGTTCCACCAGACCCCATAGCCTCCTTTGTACTTAAATAACCAAACAAGCATGAGGACCAGGAAGTGTCTTCTGTTCTTTTGAAAACAACTTGTTTCTCTGCTGCTTTTGATTCTTTCTGATAGCAAAGCTGACACACTCTCATTGTCAAGAAGTTGGAGAATGCAAAAACACGTAGAGTAGGATGGGTAAGGGACCTATGCTTCGGGCTTCCTGGGTGGCTCAGCGGTAAAGAATCCACCTACCAATGCAGGAGACGCGGCTTTAATCCCTGGGTCAGGAAGGTCCCCTGGAGAAGGAAATGACAACCCACTTCAGCCAGTTTATTCTTGCCTGGGAAACTCCACGGGCAGAGGAGCCTGGCGGGCTACAGTTAGGGGTCACAAAGAGTCAGACACGACTGAGTGCTCATGCATGAATGCAGGGTGTATAAAGTTCTTCAGTCTTGAGAAGTTGTGTTTACCTGTAGGTGTTTCAATTGCTTATCTCTTCACCTTCCAGGCCAAGCCAAAGCTGATTGAGCCGCTGGACTACGAAAATGTCATCGTCCAGAAGAAGACACAGATCCTGAATGACTGTCTACGGGAGATGCTGCTCTTCCCGTATGATGACTTTCAGGTGAGGGTAAATAGCACTGTGCAGTCGAGCTATACAAACAGTTCTTTTCTGTCTCTTGGTTTATTGTTGGGTTAGTTCATTTAGGGAATTAAAAGGATGAAAAGAAGAGATGCTATTTAAGAGAGAAAAGTTATTGCCATTATCTTGTTCCAAGCATTCCCTCATGACGTGATTTTTTATTGGTATTTTTTACATATATGTGTTATGTGTGTGTGTGTACACACACAGATATGAATACACGTTACATGTGTGCATATATGTGAATATGTGCATATTCATATGCATAAAACACACATGCATACATAACACAAATGTTTTCTCAAGCATTTATGTTTTATCTTGAATAGAAGTGCTATCAGTTTAGTCGCTCAGTTGTGTTCGACTTTTGAGACCTCATGGACTGCAGCACGCCAGACTTCCCTGTCCTTAGTCCGGGCTAATTCTGTAGACGCAAGTGCCTCCTATATCTTAGGGAATTTGTTTGAAGAGGATTTTAGGGACTTTTGCCCAGTGCCTTAGAGTCTTAAGGATGGGATTGGCTCAGAAGCGGTGGAAGGTTTTGTCAGGCGTCATTTTAAGCTGTCACTTTGGGAAACTGCCTGGAGAGAGGCCCTGACTGTGCGTGGGCTTGCTGAGAAGAGTCTGGGGGTCCTGACATCCAGGAATGTCCTAACATATACCCCACTGATGCAGTGACAGGTGCTGCTTCTGGGAGCTCAGTAGCTGCCGGCAGGGGACTCATCATAGCTTTTGCTGTGAGCGGCTCCTTAGATGGCTGCTTGAAGCCTTTCAGACTGTCCTGCGCTCAGTGACCCACAACAGCTTCCAGGCCAGTGAGGAGTGACGGAACCCCAGTTGCGTTAGATGCTTGGCAGCCTGGAGTCACATCCACCCATTGGAGACTCCGGTTACTGCCCTTGCTCTCCTGGGATTTAACCTTGGAGCTTCCTTCTTCTCTACCTGATGCCGTTATCATCTGAGACCTGTCTGTCCTGAATTAAACTACCTGCCCCTGCCCCCGCCACCCCCCGCATTTTTTTTGAAGCTTTCTTGATTCTTTGTTGTTTAATTTTAAAAGCTAGTATATGCTTGTAATAAACAAGCAGGCCCTATTGAAACATTTGACATTAAAAAGCCTCCGCTCCACCTTCTTTTTAATCCCACTCCCCAGAACATCACTTGCTATATATACAGTTCTCTATGTATTCAACTGTCTTTGGAAACTTCCATGTTAATAACAATCATCAAATCATATTCCTTGAAGTTCCCCCCCCCCACACCAAATTTAAGAGCTTCCAGTTT